TATGTGGCCATGATATGAATATTCGAATTGAACTCCAATGGCTGCATCAAAACAACCGCGCAATTCTCGCAAGCTGTCAAAAGACAGCCAGTTATATACAAATAATGCATGAACGAAAAAACAGAAAGCAGATGGTGAACGCCGGGGGACCCTACTCTGACCATATATTTTAACCCTAGTTACTATTTCTCTAGAATTTATTACAAGGTCACCAGTATTACAGGGTGTTCGCATCCCCCTGACTTGCAAAGGGGGAGGTAGTGTGGTGGGCGTAATCGACCCCTGCTGCTGATTTTGTTAATAACGAGGACGTATGCGGTAGCGTGTTGTCCAATTTGCAGAAGAGGTTGTATTGAAACATTAAAGAACTTGCCGGCAACGAAAAGGAATTTTCGTCAAGATATTGTTGTACAGACCTTAAACCATCCCTTGCAACCCAAAGTGGGAAACGTTTCCTATCGGCTTTTCAATTTGAGCCGTTGTTTCCCCTTCCTCTAATCGCATGTAAATTTTCTTATATGCACGTCGGTTGGCCTACTTCACCCATTGCACACCGATTTTTATCCCTCTTCGTTTGCTTGAAATACAATGAGGTCATGGGGGCACAAGGTGACAACGCTAGCGCTGTTTTGAAAGCAGTCCAATTTCGACTATTTTTGACGAATTTTTCAAGGACATTTATCTACGATGTCGAAAATTGCAGTCATTTGTGATTAGGGATTACTTTTGATATCCCGGTGTTGTGCGTTTGTGCGCCTAATTTTATTCTTTTAGAACGGAGGACATTTTTGCTGAAAATTTTGGAACGATATTTCCAAAATAAAGCGTATCACCCACTTTCTTCAGAAGTGCATAGTATTGCTAGGCCGGATTACCAAATGGTTGTCATAAAATGGCACCACATCGGTGTCTTTTTTCCTGGAAAAGCCTCAACACATGCTGTCTGTTGGGGTCCTAGTTGACGTTTGCAGTGATAGTTCGGCCGCCGTTTTCAACGATGTTCACAACGAGCTTAAGCAAGCTGAATGCAGACGCGGTGACACTCAACGCAGCTAACTACTATGCCTATAGGTGCTAGTATTTTTGAGAAAACTCTGCTGGATCTGTTTTGTATTAAGAACGTTAGCTGACCCCAGCAATCTGCATTGCTTTTCAAATTAAGTCGTCATTTTTTCCTCCATCCATCCGCATGTAAATTTTCTTATATATACGTCCATTGACCCACTTCGCCCATTAGAAATCAATTTTTATCCCGCTCTGTTTATTTGAACTACAACGAGGCCATGAGTGCACGAGGTCACAACGATAGCACTGTTTTGAAAGCAGTCCAATTTGGCCTATATTTGACGATCTTTCCGAGGAGATTTATCTACAATGCCGAAAGTTGCAGTCATTGGCGATTATTGATTGCTTTTGATTTCCCGGTGTTTGTGATTTTTTGCCTAATTTTATTCCATTTGAATGGGGGACGTTTTTTGTGCTGAATATTTTGGAATGGTATTTTCAAAATAAAGCGTGCCTGTCTCTTTCATTGCAACAGGTACTGCTGCATTCACACAAACTTAAATATGCGTTCCATTTACATTCAAGCATATGGTTCTGTAGATAAGGAGGCGACCTCAGAAACAATCCCCTTTTTGGTCTGGCGTTTAGGATGCTTAGTCCACAGTAGCTAACGGATCTCAGTTCAAATATTAATCTTCGCGCATCATTTTTTTTTCGGAAATCAAACAAGGCAGGATACAACTGGAATTAATACAACAAAAACATCCAGGCGACGCTAGGAGGACCCACTGATAAGGCGAACCCCTAGCGGCTGCGTCATTCACCAAAAAAGATCGGCGAAAAACGCATGTCTGGGCTTTTAGGGAGTATCCGTGCTGTCAGTGGGGTAAATCACTTCTCCATAAAATTAAATCAGAAAAAATCACCCTTTATCTCATAAGGATATTTGCCGTGTCATCACCTGTGCATTCCGGCTGAGGTCAAATGAGCTCGTTTTCGTTCTGAGGTCTCTATTGAAGTCCATTGGGCCTGCGGATAAACTCTGAAGTGGATCTCGAAGAAGTTTTAAGGCCTTCTTACTGCTGGGAATTCTACCCGGCCTTGAGATATTCGGGCTGACGCGTTGGGCCTATAACAAAAAATATAAATAGAACAGTTTTATTTTAAAGGTTCCGCCACCTTTCGTAACATGAAAAACCGTCGCAGTCAAACAAGAACACAAAAACTAGACTGATAATTTTTTTTCTAAAACTTAGTGATCTAGAAACGCCTTTAGCTTTTCTTCTCATGCTGCTGAATTCATTTTTCATGGGAGCCAGTCTCCTGTCCGTTTTTCTAGAATAACAAGAATGCATTTAAACTATTTGATCGTCTTGTATGAACTCGTCCAAAAATATGTTATTGGCTGAAATTACTAATGAAATTAAACGCTTCCATATGACTAAGGGCAGAAGGTTAAGGCACTGAATTTGGTAGTGGTGGGTTCTTTTGCATGCAGTTAAAAAAAACATGTGAAAGAAGATGACATGCACTCAGTCCATTTCAGCGATACATGCGTCTGTTAATAAGCCAGCCCTAGCCGACATGAAATCCCGTGGCCCGTTTAGCCCGAAAGCCGTGGTCATAGAAAATAGTAACTACCGAAAAAATTTTCTCGAACAAGACTGGACAAACAAAATCGCTGTTCCTGACGTAGTTAATTAGGCATAGATCGACCTAGGTCGGGAGGACAGGGTATTTCGACCGAAGACGACACTTTTTATGTTTGCCTTGGGTCATGCCCAATAAACAAACTGCCTCATTTCCGGAGGCCATTTTTACAGAGCAATTTGAAAATAGAATATACCAATGACGCTACCCTATGAAGTAAACGAAATCCAACTTCTCATTGCTCACTTCAGGGGTTGGCCACGAGAATGAATATCCCATCCTCTATTACAGCGTTGCTGGTGGCAACTTCCGGAGGTACAAATTTCCGTGTCTTAATTCTAACACTAAAACTTAGCCCTTCCCTAACATTGAACACAACCTCCCTCCACCTGAGATATAGCGCATAGTTCCCCGTAATATGGGGGTACCTGTTCCCATGTCCTACGGATTCAGGCTGTCAAATTGCATTGTTTGGAGGCAGGCCTTTACAGACAAAATGAACGTGGATACTATATGAAGTTAGAAGCGGTCGAAAGCGACCGAGTGCATTGCTGCGGGACTAGGCGTCGTAATTGCACACCATCCCAAGGCCACCATGCGCGACCGGGTTATGAGGATCGAAGACCGATTAAATCCCAGTGAGTAGTCGGGCGTAGTATATCGCATACCATGTATAAACTGTCCCTGAAATTATACAGGACAGACAGGTCGCATGCTTGGTTCGCGCATGCACGAATATTAGCTGGCTGTACGATGGGGTGACGCATGATCGTAAGTGGCTACTCACCCCTACGAGACCCATCACGAGTTTAACTTTTTCGCTGCGAGGATAATCGCCCACGCCGGCAACAAGACAGGCCGAGAATTGATTGAAGCCTGGGCCTCGGTTGAAAACTCAGTCAATCGATTTATCGATCTGGCGCCGCCATAAATGGCCCTGCGCATGCCTCTCCGGACTGACGGCACTGGCGGTTGATTGACTCCTTCCCCTGCCTCCTTCTAACGGTTGATTGGTCCCCGTCCCCTGCTCCTGTTGTTCATTTTTCGTTGACGCATTCATCTCTGACGATGGACTCCGGTATAAGCCCGAAAGCTCAGGTGAATAAAATTACGGTTCTAGTGATCGAAACGCCTTCTCTATCTATACACATACCTGGGATGCGAACATTTACCTCAACCAAAAATGAGAATATATGCCGAATGAAAACTCGAATCTGACCCCCTTGTTGCTTTTTTGCATAGTTCTAATGACAAAAAATAGTAGGTACCGGGACCACCTGCACATTTTTGCACAAAATAGGTACAAAATGCCAGGTAAGTGCTTGCGGCCTGAAAAGCATCATCCTGGTGGAATGACGTACCAACCAAGAGGAAAATGATCCGTTGTAGAGGCTATCTGTGACGTGGAAGATGTCGCCACAGGTAATGGGAAGAGCTGGCACCCGTTCCTCAGCACCATAACCGACGGCTTCAGACAGGGGTGACAGGGAGAAAGCTGCTCTCACATAGAAGTCGTCGCCGGGTCCGAGACGTTCATCCAGAAAGCTGACATACTTTGTGGTGTTTCGTCTAAGCTCTAGTTTGAGAGCTACGGGCGTCCCCAGGATTCGTAGAGCAGCGTCTGCTTTTGTCATATCCTTGACCTTTTCGTCATTTATCTGTTAAAAGGAAGCAAAATAAAAATAATACGATAACAACTGGTGGAAAGCGCGGAGCGCGGAGCTCAGAGGTCAAACCGATAAAGTTGCCACCAATATGTGTGTGTTTGCTTGTCCCTTACAGGGACCACGCAGTAGATGTGCTGAAACAACACGCCGCTTGAACAAGGTATTAAAAGCGTTATTGGGGAGGCACACATACGACAAATACTGAACATGGGGGGGTGTGTGGTGGCCCACCTAGATGCGGCTTCCTGTCGCGCTAGCCACATGAGCCATCTCCAACATCCAGTAGTTCTGGCTGTGTTTTGACTCCGGGTATTGTAGGTGTGTTAGATGTTGTGCAAGTCTTCCATCACTATAAACTCGTTCGCGCTTAGGTCAGCCTTCCCGCGCCACACACTGTGGGGCCCACAGTGGATGTTAGTGTGTAAGGATGGCCAAACTGGTGTGTGTGAGAAACCTTACAGTGGGTCCTGCTGTAGGCGTGCTGCATCAAAACGTGCCCAGATTGGCTTACGACAGGCATTAATCGAGCTGGAATGGACC